CAGAAGAAAAGTTATCTAAAGCAAAAAACCTAGGTTGAACGCACACCAATATATATATTAGAGTTCGGAAGTTTAAAATTCGAAAAGGAAGCAAAGAAGTAAATTAAACTAAACTAAAACAAAAACAACCTGCCTATACGGCTAATTCTATTGAGAGTTCACGTAACTCAGTTTTATTTTGTTTCTACTTCACCGCCGGCGAAAGAGCACACACCCGACAACAACAAGCAGCACCCAGGCTACGAAGACGGCCACACACACAAGCCAGGGCCCAGCAGCCTCACTCTCCGCCAAGGGAGGGCACACAGCAGAACGCTGGGACCACAAAGGCCCAGCGGCAGAAACAACGTAACTGCCATTACGGCAACAAAACACAGAAGTGTTGCCATAAGCAACAACAAAGCACATTTTTCAACAACTGAAAAAATCTCTTAGTTAACATTCAGACCAACTCAAGTACATTTTACCTGTTGACACTCAATTTAAAAGAGTTTAAAGCTAAAACAAACAGAAAGCAGTTATTCACTTATTGTCTACTTATACAAACTTACACATGCATGACTTGAATTTTGACACTTGTACCATTCTTAACCCTCTAACACCTGCTCCACAGCGGACATCACTTCGGCCGGTACGCGCGAACTTAGGGATGTTATCAACGTATTGTTGAGATCGGCGAAGAACAACGTCACGTGTGGAACTCCGTATGACGTCAAGGATGCATAAAACACCCAATCGTCCAAATACCTAGCCAACACATTTGCCAACCTAACTTCTAAATCCCATATCTTGTCCATAATCAAATCTTCAACGGCCTCAGACACATTTTTTGGAAGACCGTCCACCCAAAAATCAATTATGAACTGGACACGAAGTTCTAGAGCCAATTGGAGCTGCATTTTTATTTTCAGTCAAAGTGGCGATGTTAAGTTCAATCAAACTGGCGATATTCAAATATAAAGTTCAAGATATATTTACAAACAACCAAACAAATAAACCCGATAAACCATTGTTAGAGTAAATGTCACCGAAAACCATATTTCTACCAATTTGGAACGATCACCAAACATCCTGTTCATTTGGTACAATTTGGCACAAAGTAAATGCCACGACACCCACCAAATGGATTCGACAAACGAATTATATTTTGACAAGTTTGACCTGATGACAACCGAACAAAATATAAGCCTTCAGAAATTACCATTTTAAACAACTTCATGAATAGCGAAGAATTTCAAAATCTGGTGCACTCAATTCAGAATTCAGAATTATTGTCGGAAATTCCCTACAACATTGATCTAATCGGTTTTGGCGAACCCCATCTGAATTACTCAGGTGAAGTTCACTCAGTGTACTCTTGTGAAGATCATTTAATCCTGATTATCATTGCCTACTCAGTGGGTGATTCGCGTATGATAGTTACTTGCCGATTCAATACGATCTCAGAATTCGAAAACATCAGCTTTGAATTACAGACAAACGCCTTCCTGGGACTCCAAAACACCAACTACTCAATAGTTTATGAAACATCATCCTAGCTGTAAGTCTACGTCAATAGTCATGATCGAAGCCACCACCCTCATTGTTCTTGTATTTCTTGCCAACACATCTTATGCGAGCGAATATGAAGATGCTTTGAAGACGGGAATAATTTTTCATAAAGATAGTCAGATCTTACTAGCCGAAAAGTTTATCAACGCAGAATTCCTAGTTCCATTCCCAAGTTACAATTTCACGATCCAAGATAATGTAACGCAACTTCTTTCCATCTTGTCAACGAAATGGAAATCCAAATCAACAGATTGTAAACTCAGTTTCGCGAAGACATTCAACGCCAGTGTTGATTCTTTCAATGTCGACTGGATGCTCCGAAAGCTCCAGGTTGAAATACAACTAGCACAAAAAGAAGTTTCGACTATCAAAGTTGAGACCTCCCATTTCCTATTCAACGAAAATGACGAAGATCAATCACGAAAAAGACGAGGAATAATGTCAAAACTAGCCGCCATCGCAGGAATCGGACTTTTCGGACCAGGAATCTTCATGGACGATTCATCAAGTTGCGGACTATTGGGAATCTTTGGCACTTGTCAAGACAACAGCCGCGCCAATGCACAGAACATCAAGGAACTACATGAGTTCACTACTCGACTGACAGACCACGTAGTCGAATTTGAAGAACAGGTCAATGAAAAATTCTTTCTGGTTGCTGACAAACTCGCGGAAGTTAATGCCATCCAGCAGGAAATGATCCAAAATCAGCAGGAAAATTGGAAAGTGACAGCACAACTTCGAAATCTTGCGCGATTGTGATCAGTACCTGTTCTCGAATCAACAATTGAATTTCAATTTTGATACTGCAGCCTCTCTCCTCTCTCTTCTGTACTCAGATGTCAAGAGTTAAAGGGCAGCGCTGTACGCTTTTAAGACGAACATTATGAATGCCATCCCTACGCTTTTAGACAAGAGACTCACGATGTCATTGGTCCCCAGAGACTCTCTGATAGCAATCCTGAATTCAGTTTACGACAGCCAAAAAGACGCAACGGACAGACTGACTCTAGCCATCCCAACAACCGAGCTTCACTCGTACTATGACGCAAAACTGCTTCGAGATGTTGTAACAGTTGATGAAGGCCTGCTAATGACACTAGCGATACCGATGTCGTCCAGTCTAACTGTCTTTTCGGTTTATCGAGCTCATTTAATCCCGATGCCACAGCCGGGACAGAAGGATGCAATCAGATGGAAGACCGAGGGAGACTACTTCGCAGTCTCTGAGAACGGAATGGAAACCTCAGTGCTCACACGAGAGCAGTATGAGAAATGCCTCGGTTCATCAAGGTATAGGATCTGTCATCAAACCATGCAGACACAGATGAGCAGATCCTCTTGTCTATCTAACTTATTCTGGCCAAACCCTGTAGCAGCCTTGACGGTCTGTGAGACGGAAAAAGTCATTCTGCCTACGCCGGAACGAGCCACGAATTTGGGATACGGTATCTGGCTAATCACATCAGCCTCTTCGTCATTCTCTTTGTGGGAGTACAACCTGCATGAGGTTCATACTCCATCCCGCAGAGAGCATTCAGGATGCAACATTTGCATCATTACTTTGGATTGCAGGACGCAATTAACAACTAGAAATATCAAGATCAGACCAGATCTGGAAAGTTGTGACAAAATTCCAGCAAGACGAATCAATGTCACACTGTCTGATCCATTGGAACACCTACTCTCTACAATTCCGGAAATTAATGAGTTACCATACTTTGAATCAAAACGGACGCCGGAATTAGACTTTTGGAACAAGTGAAAATAAAACTTATCGACAGCCCAATAGTCACGAACATGGAACAATTGGACGAGATTTCAAAACCAATCGCCGACGGAATGAAACTTTTGAAACCAACCTTAACAGAGAAACTCGAAAGCTATGTACCAATAAAACTTTCACTGACACTGACCGTCATAGTTTTCATCGGAAGCACACTACTCCAGTGTTTGTGCACTTATCTTTTTCATCGATTCAAAGCAGTTCGAGACATAACCCCACAATTTCTAAAGACCGCTTATGGAGATATACGAATAAAGCCAGTAGTCGCAATGGACATTGATGAACGCGACAGAGATGAAAAAACAGCTAGACTTATGGAAACACGAGCGGAATGGCAGAATAAATACACGATTCTAGACGTAATTGACGACACGATTGCAGTACCACAACATCACAGACAGATGGAGGATGCAGTACTAAACGACGAGACACTATCAATGCAGGGAAGCAGAATAGACATGAATAGAACGAGATCAATGGGCGAAATCTCAACAACATCACACCAAGGAAAGACTTCACGAAACTACAGCGGAGGAATGAAACTGACTCCTAATACAGGAATCTTAGGTGTGAAACCTCCTTCTATCCAAATAGGAGCTCAATACAACGAGGAGACGACCTGAAGTATAGGAAGACTGAGATGCGAATAAGTTGCCATTTCATCTTTCATTACTGACACTGATTATATCATTTAATTGACCATGACGTTCCCAAACATTGATTCTATGACTCAAGTGGTGGCTTAATTGTAACCTGAATCTCATAAGTGCTAGCAGCACTATTTATTTTCCCTGAACTCAAGTTCTAATTTAAACTTACCTGTTTAACCTTAATTTTATACATTTGTGAAGTTAAAATTTCTTTAATACACAATTCGTGTATGTAAATTTGATAACAGAACCAATCCATTTGAGTGTATATAGTTTAAAACCTTTATTTTATGCACATTTGGTGTACATCAACCAGCTTTAACCCTGTGCCTAACCTAATTTAAAGCCGGTTTAGTTTGTTATTTACCCATTTATAAAAGTAAATTTATAGAAAATTTATTGAGTTAAATTGATTTAAAATTATTGAAATTGAATTATACCGTATAACTTTTAATTCGTTCCTAAAATTTATTATGCTTTTAACATTGCAGTTTCCCTTTGAAATGCAACTAAATGAAATTACTACAGTTTGAAGTTAGAAACTCACCAAATTTTATGTAGATACTGTATTTAAATTGTAACCCCGATGCTAATAACAGTCGCCAGGAAATAATTCGACAGTGTAAGTGTAGCGTACCCATAAATGGCACGCTATTGATAGCCATGAAATAAGTGCTATATTAGAAATTGATGTCATAAATTATTAATGTTAAAATCCCAAGCATGCAGTTGAACAAGTTAGTGTTTATTAAAAGTAAATAGTGAGTTATTAGTTGGGACATATTATTGAATATCGAGCTAGCTGAAAGTAATAAAGTTTACTAACAAAAGTTAAATTCAAACAGCTGAGAAAGTGATAGAGATAGAATCCATGCTGTCGGGGCCCATGCGTCCGTATTGAGATACTGCTAAATCAACTCCAGTTAATAACATGCAATAACATCTAGAAACCATGCGGGTTAATTAATAAAAGCAGTGCATTACATCAATCTACCATTTGTTGGTTTCCTTAGGTACTCAAGTTTGCGCAGATGCAGAACTGAAGGGAGAGATATCGATTGGGCAGAGGTGTTTCGTCCACCCGAAAGCCAGGATTATAGCAGAGGCGGGACCCATCATAATGGGCGATGGAAACATGATTGAAGAGCAAGCATTGATCATAAATGAGTTAGTAAAACTTATTTATATTATAGATCAGCAGACCAAGGCCTACCCCGTAATCTATTGGGTTGAGCTTAACTGAGCTGTGCCGCACTTCTAGGTGATCATTTTGCAAATAGCAGTGAACGTGTGATTTCGAACCCGGAATCATTTGATTGCAATCTTATGAAGTATCCGTATGAAGTGAAATTGCTCACTTAACGGTCTTTTTATAGATTGTATCAATTTTGGGATCTCAAATTGAGTCAGTCACTCATTGATTGACTGACTCAATTTTTTCTTGCTTCAAATGAAGCATTTTTCTTGCTTCATTTTTTCATCGAAAATGCGCTGTCTATAAACGAAAGTGCAAATCGCACAAAAAATTGTGATCGACTTCTAATTGATTTTAAATATCATTATCAGCGGAATAAAAAATTAACTATTGGCCAAGGTTTCGGTTTTTTGTTTCCTAAGATAATTGTTTCTTTACAACGCGGAAATTCTAACTTCTCAAAACTTTCAGTCATTTTTTGGTCTCCTTGATTTCATCTTGAGCGTTCAACTTTTTTTGGCTGTTTCATGGAATCTTTTAGAATACTTTCGGAATTTGAAATTATTGCAGATTCGATACAACAGAAAAATCTAGCGGAGGGCCGATGGATCGGCAGATCATGTACATAGGCTCCAACAACATGTTCGAGATAGGAACAACCGTCAAGAGTAAAAAGATAGGCGACAACAATGTATTCGAATGCAAGAGTTTCATAGGCAAAAATGTCGAAGTTTCAAGCGGGTGCACAATTGGAGCGTTATGTTGTGTAATGTGTAGAGATAGATTACCAGAGAATTGTGTGATTTATGGTCAAGATAGGCTAAGAAGGATAGCGGCTGAAAGACCTCAGAATCCGAATGTCCTCTACGAGTATTTATCACACGTGGCACCTAAGTTTCACAATATGAAAAGAAGCTCGAAAAGTCAAAGCAGCAGCAGTAGTGCGGCCGCTGCGCAGAAAACTCCGACTCAATAAAAACACCCTCTTTAGTTCTGTGTCTTTTATTTAGTAGAAAGTATTGGAAATGGGATTAATTGCCTGTTAGAAGAGTTTTTCATTTTTAATATTTCTGGTATCGAAATAATTCAAATATATTTGTTTAGTTTTGTGATACTAGCCTTAGTGATATTGCATTAAAAAATTTCTAAAAACAATCAAAAGCGATCCATCATTGCTAGAACTCGTGAAGAAAAGTTTTAATTTTCGTAGCAGCATAAAAAGGCGTTTTTGGTTGGTTTTATATGCATGAAGTTAGTGATCATATTCAGCATGTGCACTTGATATGATGCATTTATCCTTTTTTCAGATTTGTGTTAGAATGAATGGGCCTAGAAATACAAAAAGGATACTTAACGAAATGGCGTCGGAGCACAACAGGCTCCAGATGTTGGGAGGTAAACGGAACTGGCCGGGTGTGATCAGTAAGGGCATGCTTCTTTTGGACAAAGAATCTCCTTTCTGTCAGCCCTCTTATGTTTTAAGTAACGCTGAAATGAAAAAACGGCTCAAGAAATTGGAAGAGGAAAAAAATGCAAAGCCTAGTCTGCTATGTTTGCCCAGACATTTTCTAAAGGATGTTTTGAAAAAATTGAGTCCCGAAGACGTGGCAGTGATATCTCGGACGTGTAGAACTTTGAAGCAGCTGACAGATGAAGGCGGATACAGAGGCAAAGAGGTTTATCTGCATGCAAGAAAAATTAATCGATCTCAAATTGTTGATCTTCTGAAAAAGTAGGTCATCTTAGATTTCCGATAAGTCTTTTTAATTACCAATGAAGTAAATACATTTATTCGGGCCGTGTTTTTTGTTTGATTTATTTACAGCTAAAATTGAGTTTCTCAGGCTCAATTCTAGAGAAAAACAATTCAGATTCCTATGCTCAATCTAATGCTAATTGCTCTCACTAGTAACAAATATTAAAATTGCGTGAAAAAAAATTAATTTTATAGATCTAGAATTGAAGCGTCGAATACAAAAATTAGTGCATTGGAAGAAGCATAGAATATTCCGACCACTGTAACCTTCGCATAAAATAACGCTAAAATTTCTTTCAATATTAAAGCGAAATTGCTTGATGAAGCGTAAATTACTTATATTATCAAGTTTTTTCAGGTGGAATAAGCGTTATCTTAAGACAAAAATACTAACAGTTTTTGCTTTCTTTCTACATTGTTTTCATTAATTTTGTATTTAACAACATTTATATGTATATAGATGATTGTTCTTATATATCTTTGGTGTACGCTTCTACTAGGTTGTCATAAAACCATTTTATTTTTTGAGACGCTTTGGAATTTTTTTTTTACTTTTTTCAAAAAATTTACTTTTTCTCATAAACTACTATCGATTTCTAAAAAAGTGATGCCAAAAGGAAGTCCGCCTACTATGATTTGTGCCTTCGGAATTCCCTAGGCTCTTATTTTTTGAAACTTTTACTTTTCTCAAAAACTACCCTCGGAAGTCGGAGAATTTGCTTTCAATCTTTAATACGTGTTGTGGGAAACTCCATCCCTTGTGACTTTTTGACAGTTTTTCAAACTTTTTGATTTTCTCGAAAATTAACCTCCTAAATCTTGGATTTGGGTTTCACTAGGTAGAACGGGTTGCGGTAAGCTCCACTGCATAAACGGACACGCCCAATGTTTTTTTTTCACGCAAAGTTGTAGCCCTCAAAAGAGTCCCAATTTTTGATTGTTTGACCGTTTTTTTTAAACACCTCTAAAACAACTCAATCTTATATCAAGGGTTTAATCGAGGCAACAGGTTGTGGGAAGCCTCCTTGCATAAGATGCAACGTCTTAAAAACTCTACAAAAAATATGTCTCTGGTAAAATTCTAAAATCACAAAAATTTTCCCGTATACTTTAATAGAGCAACAACTAAGGTTTTGGGGAAGCCCTGTTTTTTAAATTTTTGAATCCAAGCAAAACCAAAAATTCTCAAATAGCTATTTCTAGCTTTAGCTGGGCTTCTACTTTACAAATCTTTGATGTTTGCTTCTACTGTTGTCATAAAACAATTTGCTTATAAATACTTAATTCATAGAATTGATTTTTTATATTTTAGTCGGATAATTTAAAAGAGTTTTTTTGTTGCTCTAAATGTTGGTGGTTTCATCATATTCTCAATAAATTCTTTTTCTACCAGTGGATTTTTTATTACCAAATTTTCAGTAGAATAAAAATATGTGTATGTCCAGTTTTCTCTCAAATTGTGTTAGTTTTATCGAAAAACAAGAAGAAAAAGAACTTATTTCTCGTCGACAACCAAAATAATTAAACATTTGTTTCAATGTGTACGTTTATTTTTCAACGAAATGCACTATTAGACATAAGGCTTGGATTATGTGCACTACTGGCCATCCCCGTATCTTTTTGAGTTAAGTTAATAAAAATTATATAAGGTCAAAAAATATTTGTTTAAATTTTAAAAATTGCGATAAAAATATAAAATGTGGCAATTAAAATGTTCGAAATAATCACTTGCATTTTGAATCAAACTGGATGAAACCTTTTGGACTTATTGATGCTTGTTGTTGCTCTTTTCTGGTCGCCCATGAAAAAATCAAATTTCTGTCTGGAAATCATACAAACAGCAATGTTCGAAAATTAGAATAATTTTAGGGCTCATTTTTTGTGTTAATAATTGGGAAAAAGAAAAATTTGGACAAAAATATTTTTCGAACAAAATCGGTATTTCAAGAAAGAATGTGTATCACGTTCAGTTAGTATATTCAACATTTAACAGAAATGAAATGAGGAACAAATGTATCTGCAGTGCTGGTTAGAGTAAAACTCTTCTTTTTTGCTTGCAGTCAATTTTTCGGCCAAACTTATACAGACACGTTGGATGCGATATTTTGAACTTAACTGATTTGAACATTTTTTGTTATGAAAGCATCTCACAAATTAGGTTACTTTCCATCGTATTTAAAGTAATTTTTTCAAAAAAGCGTATCAAATTTAAGTCTTCACAATCCGATGTGTGGAAGATATTTTTCATGTTGTTTCAGGGAAATAGGCTCATTGACAATATCAATGATCAATACTCCACATGACAACTGCAGTAACGAATTGATACCTGAAGGAACAGTGTTCTCCTACCTGACCTACTTGAAAATTTTACCTATCTCCTTTTTGAGTCGAAACCAAGAATTGTTTTATGAACAAGTGATCATAGCATGTCCAAATTTGAAGCACTTGATTTTGCGTGGATTCAGAACTGTTCCAATTGAAAATGTGTTGTCTGCCATGTCCTGCAAAAATTGTTTATACGATTTGACTATTTTGAACATTGCTGGTTGTGAAAATATTGACATTTATGTCTTTTCTCAATTTCTGCAGCTGTGCAATGTACTCGAACGCTTGGATATTAGTGATATTAAAAGCCTCGATAGAGATTCTAACTTGAATATGGTTCTCTTCGCGCTTCCGGAAAGTCTGCGTTATCTGAATATGAGGTAATAGGAAATTTATTACACAAGCCAATTTTAGTGAGCGTAATAGTTATACTACGACTATTCTCTTTTTCTAACCTAGGTCGCAAATATTGGTACCACTTTTGGGGCAGCTTTACGGCTATTTGATAGCATGTGCTTTGACATTCGAATAGGAATAAGCTATCACAGTTGATACATTCTAAATTCATCAAATGATCCGAAAAAGTTATTTGATTCAAGGAACATAATAATCAAAACTCGATTTCAGAAATTTTCTAACAATATATCTCGCAGTTTTTTGAAATGCATATTTCACAGATAATGTGGCTTTATATTTTCCAATTTATTACATGCAAAATTAGTCTGGATGCCTTCAGTTTTTTATGTTACAAACTATTACTAGCAAAATTGTGTCTATTTCTTCTATTTGGTACCTTTTTTGCTGCATAGCATTGGCAATTTGTTAGCATATGTAGCTGCTTTATTTGTGTCTAATGTTTGCCGGTTGTTTAGCGTTCGTGTCCGAGAGGCAGAGTGCGAGACTCTAATTGTCGGAGTCGCAGGTTCGAAGCCCATATATAGCGAAGTTCTACTAATTCGAGGCTTATTTTTATCTTTCCTGTTTCACTTAATAAAGCTGTTTTTGTCGTGTTTTCGCTAGTGTTTGCGAAGCGCAGCTTTGTCTCTGTGTTATTACATGAGACTGATACTATGAAAGTTGCTGAATTACATCTGGGAAATAAAGATTGGTTTGAAAATTGGTGATGGATCTCCATTATGTTTTTTAGATTGCATCATTGTTTTTGATTATTGCAAGGATAGTTTTTAATTGTCAATGAAAGAAGTGAAGACAACGCTTTAAGTCGTGTTTTTGTTTGCTCGGGTTTTTTTTCACGGTATCAATTTGGTTTTTCACGGTATAATTTTTGAGTTCTTTTCAAGTTTAATTCAAATTTCTATTCTAAGCAGAGCTAAATGGCGAATTTTAATAACAAAAGTGCAATTGGCGCAAAAAACATGGATGATTTTTAGCTTCATTAATCGATTTTGATTTTAAGATTTCCCAGAGAAAAAACGTACCTGTTGATTCGGTCAGTTTTTCCAAACAATTACTTGGGTTAACTTTTTCAAAAAAAAATGACAATCAAACATATTTTGAAGCTCAATGAGTATTTGTATTTTGAAGCTCAATGTACGACGATTTTTTTCTGTCTATTGCTTATTTAATATAGTTAATTGCCCAAGAGTTGTTAGCTGTTATCTGATCACTGAGTTGTGTTTAGTGGTTACTCTCATTTTCTGGAGCAACACCTGGCTCCAATGGCAATCAGATGTGGTCAATTAAAGTATCTAATTCTTGCGAACTGTTCGAGTCTTTTCCTAGCGAATGAAGGATTATACAATCTGCACTCTTTGAAATCACTTGAGTGCGTTCGTTTTGATGAATGTCGACTAATAGAATAGTAAGTTTAATTTTCAGTAATTTTAGTAATTTAGTTTTTGGAAAAAAATCCATGCTAAAATTTTTATTTTGGAGGTCTGACTCAATTTTTGTTTTCAAGTTCTTTTCTAATTGGTTCAAAGGAAACTTGCGCTGGTCAATAACAAAAATGCAAATGGCATAAAAGAACGTCATTGACATTAAGTTGCTGCATTAGTGAATTTAAAGTTGTGGAATTCCTAGCGGAACAATTTTTTTTCTGTTGATACAGATTCCTCATTAAAGTTTTTCTAACGGTAAAACTGTCAATTATTAAAGATCAATGCAAATCAGAGAGCTTTAAGATTTAAGTGCTTAAAGATTTTCTCCTTCAAACTCGAAAATCAAGTAGTTAACCATAAATTTCGTTTTGCTACTTTCAAGAGTGTATGGGAAAAGGGAGTTGTAGAGCATTCGCGCTCAATTTTCTTATTATGCAGTTTGAGTAATTTTCTTTTGAGTCTGTACTGTTTGTAGCTCGATTTTCAATTTGAGCTTTCATATAAGTAAAGTTCCCTAATCAGGACCAGACTTCAGGGTTGCATAAAAATCTGATGTATATTCTTGATTGATTTAAATCTGATTTTTATTATTTTACCTTGATTTTTTCGATTTTTATTGGAAACGTTTTTGTATCAAGAATCAATTAATTTACGCAAAATTACTGATTCAGCATCCGAAAGAAGAACATAATGTACCCATATTTTTCTATTCCCAGTCAATTTCTGAGATTGGAATGGATAAATCTGAAAGTGCTGAAAAACTTTTCCAGTTAAAAGTATGCTATGAAGAGCTAAGTACGTAACCAATGTAAATACTGCAAGCTGGGTTGTATGTTTACCGGGGCACTCGGCAGGATAACACAAGGGTTGATTTTTTGAATTTTTATTTTACGATTAAAATCCGATTTAAATCATTGATTCAAATCAAGTTGATTTTAATCATGCATTCCTGCAAGACTTGATTGTCTTGACTGCCTTTACTTTGTCTGACTTTGCCATACGCAGAATTAAATAAAACTTTCAAAAATGGAAAAACGTTTCATTTGTTATAAGCACCGTCCCCATATGGCAACTCACACGAGCGTTGGCTATTTTACACCCTCCCGGAATTGTAACCAGTTTTTAATGTTATAAATGTTAAAAAACAGTGCCGAAAATTAAATCGAGATTGAACTCGTAACTAAATCATTTAATGATTTATCAGACATGATGCTCTTTCTTGAGAGCTCGTAAAACGAAAGCAAGTTCAGCTGCCTTTTTGTCCCAGTCGGTTTCTGACATCGCCGTGGACGTAACCGTGAGACGATATTACACAATCAATACCCGCAGAAGACGGTGGCAAGTCGAGAATTTTCGCTGCGACCTGTCCTAGCTCATTTTCACGAGGCAATTAGATAGTTAAAAATTGTTAGATGTTAAAAAGTATTAAAAATTCATTATTTTTTAACGTTAAAAAACACTGTTAATTAACATGAGGGTTTTTAACATGCCAACCCTGAATCACACTGAATCGAAAATTGAACTCAGGTGAAATGTAGTTTTAATTTCAACTCAAAACAGCAATATTTTTCAGATAGTGTAAAAAAATCCATCAGAAACATCGTTAAAAGGCTCTCCACTCAGGCTCTCCAATAAAAAGATTGGAATAGTTGAAAACTCTCCTGTGATTTTGGTTTTAACACTTGCGAGTGCAAGTGTCTTGTAATCTGAAACAAGACTTTTTTTCCCCGTAAACAGCTTTTACAAGAAGTTGAAGGTGCCTTATAAGTGAACTTTAGCAACTTCGAGACTGCTTCGCACTAGTCTCGGGGTAACGCTTTTGCTTTTTACCGTATGATCTGGGGTATAAGTCCCGGCCGACCTTTTTTCAATATGTATAAAATTGAAAAAAAAACATGTCCGTTGAAAACTGAATTATCGGAAAAATAAAACAAATTTCTTGACAGCTTTTGGAATTTTTTTGACTTTTATCGAATACTACCCTGTATTATTTTTTGGTTTTTTGCGCAGTCAAAAATGCTGGTTTTCAGAATCTTCTCTACTCAGCGGCCGCGGCCTTTTTGCAGATATGGTTTTTTAACTTTTGGCCGTTTTTTTAGAAACTTTTTTACTCTTAATGCACGCAACCTGTTCTTCAGATTGAACCATTCTCAGACTTGTTAGGGTAGTTTCTAAATAGAGTAAATAAAAAAGTTTCTACAAAACCAGCGTTTAAGCCGGAGCAATATATCATATAAATGCAGGGTAGTATTCGATGAAAGTTTAAGCATGTTTAAGCTTTTCAAGAGCAAAAAACGTAGCGAAGACTCTTATGATGCTCTTGCTGATTTTTTTAAGGATAGTTAAAGTTTTGATGCACTTAGGTATAATGCACTTTGTGAGTTTAATTGAAGTTCATCTGCTGAAAATGACATAAATAGCACTCTCCAAATAGGAACGTGCAAATGGTGCAAAAAAACGTTAACAATTTCTAGTTTCGAAAATGGAATTTTTAGATTTCCCAGCGGAATAAAAATTTTACCTATTGATCCAGTTTTTTCAAGTTGGGTTAATTTTATCAAAAAAGCGCCGGTCATAAATCGTTCTGGAATTTTTTTCTTTTAAATTCGAAAGTTCAGATTTTTCCAGAAAGTCGGTGGTTTTTTATGTTTACTTGCGTTAATTACTCTTTTCCAATTTTCGATTTTTGGCTATGTTTTATCCTGCAGAAGAAAATTATTGTCTTTAGGAAGATTTGGTTATAGTAGAAAAACCAATGATGTTTGGGCAAAGTCCAATTTTTGAAACTTCGCATTCCATCCCGCATCAGTATAAGAAATTACAAAATTATCGACCAGCTACTAATGTGTAAACTTTGATATGATGAGAATTGTAGAAAAATCAATTAAGGAAAAAAAGTTATACAAACGAATTGAATCAGTGTAACAGTATAACACGCATCAGTGTAACAAATTCAAAAGCATCAAACAGGTACCTCTAGCTTTAGCTGGGTCCCTAATTATCTCTTTTATCGAGACATACGAAAATTTTGGCTTACGTTTTTTTTCAACTTGCTATGTTTTTTTTGTTTGTTTTGTATGGCAAATAGTGCGAGGCTGCGCTTATTCTCTGTGTGTAAACCTATGATATGGTGAGAATTATAGAAAAATCAAGCAAGAATAGATTAGAAAAACAAATTTGTTTCATTTAATTAGTTAGGGTGTTTTTCGAGCAAAAATATTTTCACTCAAATTTAGTTTGTTTTGCGGTTTCACTTATGATCTTTTAATGTGACTTTCAATTTCATTGAAAAAAAAAGAAAGTCAAATACGCTCTCATAATAACTGTAATAACTGCACCAAAACGGAACTTAGGTCTTATATCAATGCCAAAAATATTTGCGAAATGAAAAATAAAAACAACGGCTATTGATTCAGTTTTCTCAAGTTTGATTAGTTCAATCGAAAAAGCGTCCTTTAAGGTGGATTATTGTTGTTAATACACAAAATTCGAAAGGCTTACAAAAAGTAGTTTTTTTTTAATTTCCTTAATTTGATTGTGCTTGCGATTAGCTAGCGTCAGGGGCGGATTTAGGGGGGGGGGGGGGGGCGGGGGGTGGGGCGGACGCCCTCCCTCAGGGATTCGAACCCCTGCCAACCCAAAGGGTCCCCCCTTTGGTACTTTTTAAGAAATCCATTTTTGGCCGACCGACCCTAAAATTTTTCTAAAGGCGCCTTGGGCGCCAATATATACTAACTTTGAGGGGGAGCGCGCGCCAAAAAAACGCGTTTTTTTTTGTCAAAATTTTCCAAAAAGTGCCCAAAAACGGCTTTCTTGACCTGTTTTTTCAAAAAATTGCCTGCGGCGCAGAAAATTTGGCCCAAACAGGGTGGTATTTTTACTGCTTTGGGAGAGCTCGGAAAATCAATCTGATCGACTTTAAAAAAAAAGGTCGTCAAATTTTTCGAAAATTTTTTGAAATTCCGCCCACCCCCTCGAGAAAATCCTAGATCCGCCCCTGGCTAGCGTTATTAAATTAGAGTTTTTTATGAAAAAACTGAATCTTTTCGACAGCTCAGTCCTCAGTTTTTTTCATCAACTTTGTTAACTCGTCAACTAACAGACATTTTTGAGCATGTTTGCCTTTTCAATACCCAATCTGTTAACACTAGCAGCAGTGTAGTGTATCAGTATAAACCTTCTTTTTTTCTAACCTAACTCGCAAATAAAAGTGTTCATTGATAGTGTTCACTTATTTGGTGGCATTTTTGCTATGATCACGATCTGTAACATTGGAAGTTTCATAACATCTGTTCTTTGCTTTATTTGTGGCTAGAGTTTGTGATTTTTTAAGCGTACGTGGCTGAGTGGTTAGTGCGTTGAAAAAATGCGCAACCGTGGCTGAGTGGTTAGTGCGGGAGATTCATAATCACCAGGTTGGGGATCGATCGCGAGACTTTGGCGAATTTGAACTAATTCGAGGCTTCTTTCTACTTTTTATTATTGCACTTTACAGAGCTGCTTTTTTCATGTTCACAGAGGCGAAGCTTCGCCTGTGTCGAATTTTTTTTTTAAATCTTGGTAGACATGAAATATCGCCGATTTTGAGAAATTTAAATTTTTTATTTACACCTAACATTGTTGTAGGCGAAAAAAAGTTTCCTAAGCATGTGTGTGCTTTTAGGGGACTCAAAGTATGTTTTTTAGTTTTAAAATGTTTTAACGCTCAAACTTTAATTGATTTTTTTTGCCTCAACGTTAGTCTGCGCATGTATTACCGGCTTGTATTTTTCGTTTCAATGCTAATTAACTACATTTGAGGCAAATCGATTTCCACGTATAAAAGTTTTAGTAGATTTGATTTTTTTCGACAGTTTTGCAAACCACTTCCGTTTTAGTAGTTTTGTCACGTTTTAGTTTAGCTAGCTTTCAATGATATATTTGAGCTGTATCGCAAGTGGCGCGAAGCTCCGCTTTGCCTCTGTGAACACTTACGCTTGTTTCCTACTTAATTTAAATTCCCAATTTGTTTGCAGCGAAGATTTGTACGTGATACTGGAGTTGAGCGCTGGTATCAGGGAAGCTAGTGGTCCTCCTTCACCATTGGAGAAAGAAGACTTGAAGTTACCACAATTCGAAAGACCCGAGTGTTATCTCGTTCAAACTAGAGACAACCAAGCTGTAATGTATAATCAGCGGCGTAGAGTTTGGCGAGACTGGAGAATGTTTGATCTGAAGTTTGATTCGGATCCGGTCTAAGCAGGGCGTAGCAGTAGGTCAAGAAAATAGTCAAAAATTATGCCATAAAGCTCGAATGATCTTTATCCGTATGTTATTAACAGTAATGGACGCAGTGAATGCTCTTGTATAGGTCTTGGTGATTTTTTCAAGTTTTTTTCAAGTTTAGACTTTTTGCGTTTTGACTTCTGGTTTCTTTTCAAGTTCATTTCATTTTGTTTATTAGTACGAACATTCTTTTTTTTTCCAGCCTAAGTCGCAAATAAAAGTGCTACTTTTGGTGGCACTTTGAACGGTAGGCTGCTGTAGCAGTATAGGGTCATATTTGCTTTAACATTTGATTAGTAAAAAGTTAACACAGTTGATGCATCTTTTTTTCATCACATGAACCGAAAAAAAGTTATTGTTTGAAACGGCAGTACAATGATAAAGAGCTCGATTTCAGAAATTTTCCAAACCAATGTATATCGCAATTTTTTTTTGAAATGCATAATTTATTTGGCTTTATGCTTTCCAATTTATTACCTGAAAAGTTGTCTCTTTTTGTGTTTGATGCTACTTTTGTTGCATCGAATAGGCAATTTATTAGCATATGTAGCTGCGTTATTGGTGGCTAGTGTTGGGTGATTTTAAGCAGTGGTTTTTGCGTGAGACTCGAATTTGCTAGGTCTCAGATTCGAATCCTACGCGTAGCCGAGTTGTTGCTAATTCGAGGCTTGTTTTTTTTATTAATTCACTTGATAGAGCTGCTTTTTGGTCGTGTTCTCGCAAGTGCTTGCGAAGCGCAGATTCGCCTCTGTGTAAAAGGAAGGCAAACTTCACTATCAAACAGCGAAAGTGTAAAGTCACAAAAAATGATCGACTTCTAGTATCGAAAGTGGAGTTTTTTTATCAGATTTCCCAGCAAAATAAAAATTTGCCTATTGATCCAATTATCAAATTGTGTTAATTTTATCAAAAAAACAATCAAAAATTGTTCTTGAAATTCAAATTGTCTCAAGAGCATGTATTTTTTCTTTAAAATTCGAAACTTGAAGTTTTTTCAAAACACAAATCAGATCGATTGAGCAATCTCTCAATTTTTTTTCACTCTGATTGTAATTTTTTTACCTTTGATATTATATATAATTGCGTTGCACATTCGTTGGAGAATCTGGTTAATGATTTCATATCATTCAAAGTATTTTCAAGTGCTCATAAACTTGTCTCAAATTCCTATTGAGGCATCCCCCACACGAGAAATGGGGTGGGGGAGGAGAGATTGCTCAGTTGATCTGTTTTTGTTTCCTTACGTTCATTACTCTTTTTTAATTGTCAGTTGGCTATGTTTGTTGATTTCCTGTTCAAAGTGATTGTGCCTGAAGGTTTAATATTGAACTGATGTCATTTGTTGTGCTGAAGTTTAAATAGTTTTTGTAGCTCTTATCATTTAAATTGATAAGCGAAACAAGGCTTTTTATTTATTTTTTTCAAAGTATGAAAATGAAAATTGTTTCTGTAGTTGTTTATTGATTGTTGATGTTTTAGTTCTTTTTTTGAAGTTTCAATAAATCTTTTTATAATTTCCCAGATCAATCATAAATGTTTCCCTATTCAAGCTTAATTATTTCCCGTTTAAATGTATTTTTTTTCAGATACAAGTAATTGAGTTTTTTTGCATCGGTTGGAATCGAACTTTGGACCCCTGTTGTTGAAAATCACTGAAAAAATAACAATGACAGACTTGGTACTGGACTCGAACATCAGACTGTGGGTTTTCATTCCCATAGTCATCATCACCTTCTTAATAGGGATATTGAGACATTACGTGTCGGTGTTGTTGGCAAGCGAGAAGAAAGTGGATCTTCAGCAGATCATGGACTCACAGGTAGAGATTAATTTGAGGGTGAAATAAAATCTTTCTAGATTAAAATAGCCAAAGTTTCAATCAAGTTATCAAACTAAAGCTTTCAATGGTTGAAAAGCAATCGTGTACATAGGAGTCTTGTGTTCTCGCATGCGGCATACCTGGATACTTCTTAGTTTTTAAGGCTCCAATTGTAATTTTAGGTAGATGAGGACCCAAATGAAGCCAAAATCTGTTATACATTTGAATGCCGTCTTCATTATTTCGCCATGTTTAAGGTTTTTCAACCTATAATTTTTGCATGTTTTACGAATGAAATTTTTCACGGTTAAGCTATATCGTATAATGCAATGGTTGAGAATTTTTTTTTTAGATTTTCCAGTTTGAACTCAGTGTTTATATAAGAGGTTTAAAATTAGACACCCAATAGAGTTATGTTGTCAGGGTTCTCGCAGGGGTTGCGAATTGGGCCTCCAATTATGACTGCTCCAATCCTTGTAGTTTTCGAGATATGACGTTTTTATGATTTTTTTAATTTCAGGAAACTTAGATTTGACAAAATTTGAAATTCCCAACCCTGTAGTTGGGTGATGTCAGGTACTCGTAGAATTTGGGAACTTTGCCTCCAATGATGTCTGCTCAAATGATTAGTTTTCCAGATATGACGTTTTTTATGATTTTTGTTTTTTAGTTTTCAGAAAACTTGGATTTGGAAATATTCAGTAAGTTTGAAATTCTTAACTGTGATTCTACTTTCAGGAGTTCCAAGTTACAAACTCTTAGTTCACGAAATGTGACGTCTGTTGTTGTTTTTTTTTCTAATTGGTCAAAGAACTTAGATATAAAAACTTTGCAAAATTTGAAATTTCTACTTCTATAGTGATGCTCTGTCAGAGCATTTCCAGGTTTTGCAAAATTTGCCTCCAAACATGACTGCTCAACCATTTTAGTTTTCGAAATATGACGTTTTTTTGTGATTTTTTCAAAAAGTTTTCAAATAACTGAAATTTAAATTTTTTTCTTCAAAATATGAAAATCTTAACCCTGTAGTTGAGGGCTGTCTCAGTGTTCTCAGAAGTTACGACTTTTGCCTCTAAATATGACTGCTCAAATTTTTGTAGTTTTCCAGATGTGACGGTTTTTGTGATTTTTTAAAACATTTTCAGAAAACCGAAATTAAATTTTTTTTTTCGAAGTTTGAAATTTCTAACCCTGTAGTTGGAGGCTGTCAGAGGACTCTCAGACTTCTCTAAATTTGAAATTCCCAACGCTGTATTTGGGTACTGTGAGGGTACTCTCGGGCGTTTCAACTCTTACGTCCAAGTGTGACTGCTCAAATGCTTTTAATTTCCGAGATGTGACGTTTTTATGTCATTTTGAATATTCTCAATAAAGTTAGATATGAAAAACTTCACAAAGTTTTGTGGTTTTTCCAAATTTGAATTTAAAAAATTCGAAGAAAAACTTAACAAAAGTTGAAATTACCAGCCCTGTAATTGGGTGCTGCCAAAGTACACTCAAGGATGCAGATCTTATTTTCAATATATGCGACTTTTTATGAGTCATCAAAAGTTCGAAGCACCGGATAATTCACGCTAGTTTATGTTGATAGTATGGAATATTGCTGTTTTAAGAACTATGCCGTTAACTTCCCACAAAATTACTGTGGTCGGTGTCAAATTAAGGGTGAATAGCCAGTGAATGGATGGCAGTTAAAAGTTGGCAATGAGAAAAATCGGCATTTGATGGCTCACCTTACGAAGACTATCAATTGATAATTAAATGTTCAGGTACTGTTGCGTAGTCGTATGTTGCGTGAAAACAGCAAGTTCATACCGAGGCAATCGTTTCTGATGCGGAAGCAGTTCTTCAATAACACTGAAACCGGATTCTTCAAGAAGGAAAAACGCGATCAAAACATGGCCAATCCCATGACGGATCCCAGCATGATGAAGGACGCAATGAAAGGCAATATGATGAATGTCCTTCCTATGATTGTAATTGGCGGCTGGATCAATTGGACGTTTTCTGGATTCATTACTACCAAGGTACCATTCCCACTTACACTGCGCTTCAAACCGATGTTGCAACGAGGAATTGAGCTGGTTTCCCTGGACGCCTCCTGGGTGTCATCAGCTAGTTGGTACTTCCTCAATGTGTTTGGTCTAAGATCAGTTTATGCGTTGGTTCTTGGAGCAGATAACAGCGCTGATCAGGCGTCAGCCATGCAGGAACAGTTTTCATCCGCTGGTTAGAATTTTAAAATTCTTAACTTAATGAGACATATTGGGCGCGACATTTAATGAACCGCCCAACAAACTAATCTGCTCATCATACAAAAAAGCAAAAAGAATAAGGATTGAATAATGTCAATAAGGAAGGACTTATTTTGGTTTTTTAGAAGACACTTTGAAGTTTTTGGAATTTCATCGAGTGTTTTTTGTTATGTTGGAAAACCTTGTCTATTGATTTTGTTTATTTCAGTTTTTCAGGAAGTGGAATTTAGTTTTCAGATTTTCCAGAGAAATAAAAATTTTTCTATTGATCCAGCTTTCTCAAATTGGATCAGTTTTATCGAAAGAGTGGCAAGCATACGTTGTGCTAGAAATTCAAAGAGCTTCCCAAAGTTGAGATTTGTTTAAAAAATAAGGCAATATTTTCTGTCTAATTGCGTTCATTGACTCTTTTTCAACTGTCTGTTGGCTATGTTAAGATTGTAAAAGCTGGAGTTCATTCGCTTCTTTGATGAATGTTCGCTTTGATTATCGAAACACATTGTATTATCTGGTTTACCTATATATCTGTTTGACTTCCGTAAACTGTTGTTATGAAAATGTCGCCGTTTTGTTGCTCTGGAAGATAGCAAATACCTAATTTAAGACTAGAAACTGCTTTTTTGTTTTTTTTAAAGAGTTTTTGGGGTGTGATTAGATATGTCTTAGCCTTTTGTGCTAGTTTTGTTTTAAAGTTAATGATAAATTTTTTCTGCAGCGAATTGATTTAAAGCTGTCCCAGTCTGATTATTTTTGGCTTTATTTAAACAGACAAAGAAAATCAGCCATTGAGAAAGCCAACCTGTGTGCCTGGCTTTTAGTCTGCTTGTAAATCATTTCAGCTCAACATTTTTTTTTTGATTTTTTTCATCTGTCAGATTGCTCTCTGTCTATTGCACTGGTAAGTTTTCTCATTTACTTATCCTATCGTTTTATTGTGATGATTGAAACCACTTGTTTGATTAACTCTGACATTTCTTGATACTGGTTTGTTGGTACAAGTTTGCTCTGATTGTTTTTCCTTACTTTAGTTTTGGTTTAAAAGGGGTGTTTCGTCTTTTATATTTACGCTAGCGTACGAACCGGTTTTTAAACCTATTATATCAACCTAACGAAATGAAATGTTCTATTAGAGTGTTCACTTCTGTGCATTTTTGCTATATTCACAATCGGCTTTGTGTCTGGCCAGTGTTTGTAAGTTCGAGTCCGAGACGTCGCCGAAATTTTTTTAATTCGAGGCTGATTTTTCCTTTTTCTTTTTGCACTTTCCAGAATTCTAGAGCTGCTTTTTGTCTTGTTATCGCTAGTGTTTGTGAAGCGCAACGTTGCCTCTGTGTTTAATATGCTTTTTATGTCTTCAGAGTTAACCTATTTGAAATAATTTTGCTCCGTTTGATGCTCTTTAAATTCTTAAGGTCCTGGTAAAAATAGTTTTGGGCGTCTATTAAGTCATTTTCCAGTGAAAATGGAACTGATGTATAGTTATCCCTGAATGATGATTTTGGCCCAACTTGATTGCTTGACATTGAGACAAATTTCCACGTTTTCTTCAAATTTAACTTCATTAGCGACCATCACTGAAAGTTTTGACCATTTTTTAGCATGCTGACGATTGTTTGTGTTGCATTGCAGTTGGTGCGAATTCAGTTTGGCCTATGTTTCATCACAATTGTTTATTTTTTTTATAACTCTACATTGATTACCTATGAAAAAATTTTACGCTGATAGTATTCGCTTTGGTTGTTCTTCCTAGGCTTCATTTTGGTTCGAACTGTCAGTTTTCTCTATTCTTTTTGCTCTTCTCGCGTTTGACAAATTGTGTTGGAATTTGTTTTGAAGATTTCATTTGGTTGATACTTATCCATGTCTGAGTATGTCTAACATATTATTGTAAGGGTTATTTGACTGTAGATTTTTAGTTTTTAGGTTGCGAAAACTAAAGTTCGGTTGCTTCGTTTTTCAAAAAAAGTCTTAGCTGTTTTTCTTTTTTACTGATTGACTTTCGTAGACTGCTGTTCCAGAAATCTTTCAGGTCCCTGTATTTGGAGTTTTTAGATATGTTTTTGGAGTTCTGTAGCTGTTTTATCATAAATATTTTGAAGACAAAATGTTTATAGTCCAACCGATGTATAGTTACCCCTGTCCGATTTTTTTTGGTCTTTGCATAAACAGATCGAGAAAATCGATCATTTGCTTTGAGAAAGCCAATTTGCCTGATGTGTAGCCTAATTTGCCAGAGATAATTATTTGCCCGAGATATAGCCTAGTTTGCCTGAGAGATAATTGTTTGTTTGACCTGAGTTTTTGTTTCGTTATCTGACAGTTTGATTTCCGTCAATTGCACTTTAAGTTTTCCTGATTTAAGTTTGATTAACTTTGAGTTACGTTGCATACTGTTTTATTTGCATAAGTTTGTTCTGATTGCTCTGTCATTTTTTGTTCTGTTTTTGTGTGCATATGAAAAATTTGATCAACAAGATGATGCCTTGAAAATTTAACCAACCTTTTAATATTATTGTGCTTTGTTTGGTAATCTTGAGAGTTTTTTGTCCTCGAGGATAATAGAGGGCGTCTGTGTGCCCATTTTCCAATTAAGTTTAGAATATCAAATTTATTACTTGAATTCAACAGATGTATAGTTATCCCTGTCTAACTTTATATGTTCAACTTCTATGCTTGTCCTTTAGTATGCTTGACACGTAGTTAAATTTTCATGTTTTCTTCAAGTTGAATTTATAGTTTCCACGTTTTCTTAAAATTGAACTTATTCGAGACAATCATTGAAAAATTGACTCATTTCTTTTGGCAAGCTCACGATGCTATGATTGTGTTGATTTTGAAGCGTCTCTAGACCTGTTTCAACACAATTGTTTTAGTTGATGACTGATACTCCGTGTGATTAACTATACAAGACCTTTATTACTGATATTGTTCTTTTTTGGCCTTTCGTAAGCTTCACTTTAGTTCGAACAGTCTGTTTCCTCTATACCTGATTGATTTTTGTCCCTGTCTGAGTATGTTTAACCCAATGCTGTAATGATTTATCCGACTGCTAGCTTATCGTTTTCAGTTTGGAAATGCTTGAATTCGGTTGCTTCTCTAGTACATTTTGCTTCGATTATCAAATCATTGTCTTATCTGCTTCACCTGTATCTATTTTTGATTTCCGTAAACTGATGTTTTGTAAGTAATTCAAGTATCTGTTTTTTCTTTTGCGGAAGATATCAAATACCTGATGTGGACTAAAAACCGCATTTTTAATATGCTTCGGTTGGTTGTTGGTGATTTTTTTTCTGGACGGCATTGATATGTTTCGTTCTCGTTGTTCTAAAAATTATGATATTTTTTCACGAAGGCCAAATGATGTGAAGTTACCCGGTCTGAATATTTTTGGCTGTTGAAACTGATGAGAGAAATTGGTCTTTTGCGTATGTGCCTGACGTTTTGTTTGCTTGAAAATCTGTTTTGCTTGATTTTTTTCCAATTTTGTTATCTGTCATTATGTTTTCTGTCAATTGCACTTGTAGGTACTCTCGTTTTCTTTTGCTAAATTTTTGTTGTGATGATTGGTACCTCTTCTTGAGACAATCATTGAAACATTTACATTATTTTTTCGTTAACTTCACGATGCTATTTTTGTGTTGCGTTGCAGGTGGTGCGAAAGCGTTTTGACCTTTGTTGCAACGAAACGATGTTATTAACTTGATGACTGATTTCTCTTGTTTGGTAAACTAGGAAAAGCCTTTGAGTATTTCGCTTCGATTGTTTTTCTTAATCTTCACTTTGGTTTGAACAGTATTTTTCTTCTATTCTCTTTGCTGTTCAGGTATTTGAAAACTTGTGATGATGAAAGTTTTCGAAGATTTCACTTGGCTGATAGGTATCCCTGTTTGATTGTTTGGCTTCGCTTGAATAGATAAAGAAAGTTCATCATTTGCTTTGAGAAAGTCAACTTGTATCCCTGCATTTTGGTATACACGACTTATTGTATGGTTTCTTTATCTGGCAGTTTGACTTCTGTCGTTTGCACTTGTAAATTTTTCTTTTGCTACTATTTATCTTGATGATTGATACCTCTTGTTTTATGAACATTGAACAACTTTGTTTACTGAATCAGTTGCATCAGATTGCTCCGTTTGATTCGCTGTTTTTAAATGAAAAGGCTATGTCGTTTTTTCCATTTTAATGTGCGTTTGAAAAATGTGATGACCAAAGCTTTAAAGAATCAACCAATTTTTTTAGAATTCTGCTCCTGTTGATGCTCATTAGACTTTTTTAAACTCGTCGAAGTTTTTTGGTGTCTACATTCCCATTTCCTGAAACCTCTATGAGAAATTGATGCCTTGAATTCAACTGATGTATAGTTATCCCTGTCTGATTAATTTCAGCTTTGCTGAAACAGAAAAAATTCAATTTTTTGCTCAAACAGAAAAAATTCAATTTTTTTGCTTTGAGAAAGATAAATTATGTGCCTGGCCTTTATCTTGCTGGTCAATTGTGTATGAGTAAATTTAATAATTGACTTTTTTAATCAGCCAGTTTGTTTTCCTCAATTGCGCACTTAATTTTTATCGTTAATCCAATTGCTGTTTGTTCATCTTAATGATTGATAAGGTTTGTTTGGCTAACATTGAACAATTTTTATACTGAATCAGTTGCATCAGTTTGATCCTTATGCTTTGCAATTTTTGACTCGAAAAAGATACTGCGTGTTTTCTATTTTAATGTGCATTTCAAAAATTATGATGCACCAAGCTTTGAATAATCGACCAATTTTTATTTTTTTTTCGCTCCTGTTGATGGTTTTTTTCTCATTTCCAGGAAAGTGTATGTCGACAAATTGAGTATGTGCCCAATTCAAAGCTTGACATTCAACCTCTGCCATTTAGTTTAGTCTCGACTTCTTTTCTTCAAATTGATCTTCTTCAAGACAATCTTGAAAAACTGACATTTTTTCGTTAACTTCACGATGCTATT